TTCAGCGATAATTTTTTTCCTCGGATAAGGGGTAGGGCATCAGTCAAAAGCCTTTTAAGAGGTTTCTCAGGTTGAATACAGAACATAACGGATAAAGTAAGAGAAAAAAATGAAATATTCTTTTGAATATTCTTCTAACAGTAAACGCTCTTGAAAAATATGGGCCTAATTCAAACACTTTTGACTTATGTAAGAAATACCTGTCCACCACTACCGTGTGAGGACCAGTGGTCCGCAAAAGTCAAAAATTTCGACACTTTTTGTTCCTCTTCCCTTGTCCTAGCGAATATAATTTCTTGAGAGTATAAAATGGAATCGTAGTGGGTAGTTTCACATTCAAAAACTGCCACCAGTCTGGCCCGAGATCAATACTATATTCGCAAACATGAATTTTTTGCGTCACTCATTCAGCTCCCGTTCTTTAGTAATTTACGAAGAAAATTATAATAACTGCCATCTGTTTCTTTTCCTTTTGCTCTGCTATTTCCTTCCACTCCGTCACTTCCTCTCTTCATTGTTTAGATCGCATAAATCGTTGATTTTCTTTTTTTTGACTCGTTCTCAACCCACTCTCAAGTCAAAGGGCGGAGTCCATAAACACAGAGAGGAGTACTATTAACGACAGTCTTTGATCTACCACTATCTTCTCAACCAGCGCATCTAAACATCCATGTAATCATAAATGAAATTTTTATATTTTCTACGGTTTAATTAGGGCTTTAGATCTCATATTATTATATAGCTTCACTTTTTTGAGACTTTTTTTAAAGTACAGTATGCTACTGTGTCCACATGATAAATTCCAGTGTAATTTCAGGACATTTCTATTCTTAGCTGGTACACTGTAGTTGTGTGAAAAGGTTATTACCTTATGTTTATGTACTCGAAAACAACTGGTAGAACTAAAGAACCACGCATTAGATATACTGTTAGTTTTTGACTCTACAAATATTCTTTTGTTAATTTTTTCTACAGTGTGACAGTTGGTACGTATTTATTTGCTATTTTCTTCTTGACTCACTTCCATTGCAATGAATAAAAAATAATGAAAGTCAAAATTGGACTTATTCTTATTCTTTATTTCAGCCATATATCACTTAATCACCTGGATACACTTTTTTTGACGACTTAGACTGAGTTCTGAAAAAAGAAAGAAAAAAGAACCAACAATACATGAAAAAAACACAACAAACATGGATCCGAAATCAAACACAAAAAGAATGGAAATAGTGTCTGGCGATAAAGCCATCTCACTTTGTACTAAGATATCATTAGATTACGCGATCTCAAGTATTCCATGAGCAGAGGGTAGAAGCTAGTTGATGATGAGTACCTGAACAGTTGAGGATCTAGAGAATTCCAGAGCATCTGCACGCGGCAGATGAAGCATTGCTTATATAATGCAAGACTGGGTTTTTCAATGCGAATCTCAAAACTGTGACCCCTCGTATAGTTCGTACGATACGTATGTTCGAAGATATCGTATAAGTCGAGATCCAGTTCATTTGTTGTAAGTTTGTACATAAATGTTAAGTCGGCAAGAAGTCTTCTATCCTTCAAAGTATTTGCTTGGAGTTTCTTCAGCCTGGCGAGATATGATAACCCAAAAGTACCCTTCCGAGCAAAAATTTTGTAAGTGAAAGATTTCTGGGCTTTTTGTATTTCTTCTATCAAGGTCTTACTTTGGGAGGACATATATATTCAATATTATGACTTGCAAGCATAATATTGAATATACATAATTCAAACAAGTGTACTTCTTTTTTGCTCAATTAAAAATTCTTAATAATATGTGATATGCGAGTTTCGTATGTAAGGCACAATACTGTTGATAGATTTTGAGAATCAACTGCACTTCATCCATACATTCATCATATGGCATGTTAGAAATGTATTAATCTCCCATTTTTTTTCTGCTGTACACTTTCTCTATTTTCTTTATTTCTTTCATTGAAGGAAGCTCAAAAATTTTACTATACATTCTTGCTTTGAACGTGAAGCTCATACACGCTTTACTTATAAGTTTTAAGAGTTTTTCAGTTTCCTTTGAGATTGCTCAAATTGAGTACATACTTAACAAAAATTTACACAGTTTCTCGTACCTACTCCCTTTAAACTACATATCAGCCTTTCACATTTTTCTGACAATAAAACACATTACCCTGTTTTTTTTTGGGAATTTTAGCAGACTCCACGATTGGTCAAGACTTCTTTGATTAGACTAATTGTAAGAAACCGACCGCGCCTATGACTAGTTGGCACTGATTTAGAAAAACCAAAGATCTAAGTTCGTCTTGTGCCGCGTTTGTTCGTAATCGGTCGAGAACTATTTGATCAAAGAGATTTTGCTTCTTTGTTAAGCTGAATTTCTTTTTGCACATATACCAACAATTGGATACAGAGCTCGGACCGAGGTGGCTTTTCAATTTTTCAAAAGTCCCTGTAGATACGGCATCACCTATGATGCGATCATGGATGGATCAGAACGACTAAAGAGAATATAATAGAACAAAAAATAAGAACAACTTCGAACAGACGAAGAAACTAAAGATGTTCGTTTTCTCCGAATTGGCGGCATGCTGTGTCCTGCGCGCACCTTTGCGCGCTTGGAGCAGGCTTACTCGCCAAACAAAATAACTGGAGGGCTGTAACTAGGCGAGGAAGAAGGGGTTTAGGGAGAAAACTCAGTTGTAGGGTTTTTGATGAAGAACGAGGTTATGTTAAATTTGTTAGAAAATTATTTGAAAGAAGAAAAATATAGGTGGCTGTCCAGGTGCCACTCAGGTGGCTGTCTAGGTGGCTGGAAAGCCACCTAACTGCTAAAAAAGTTGCCTTCAGTTCACATAATTTCTTCATAATTTCTCGCACATAATCCTAGATCCCTATTGCCCATCTACACACCAATTTTGGTGCCATTTCATTTTCTCTTTGCTGTAAAAAAGTCTTTTGTTTATTTCGAGGCAGATTTGAATTCGCGCGCTTAACCGGCAAACATGTTGAAACAAGAAATTTTTTGATTTCTGCAGATCGATAAGGCAGAAATGACAATTTGCGTCTTCTACAGAAGGTGGGTGACAGGGCAGAACTGTGTGTGGGGGGGGGGGGCTGGGGTTTTCGCTCAAACGATGTCCTCCTTGGTTTTCATTCCAAAACGATATCCAGCTTGCCCCGTAAGCAGGGGTCGGCTTGAGGTGGCTTTTTTAATTTTTCAAAAACGATGCCCCATAGACTTCGCCACAAGAATACGACATCACCTATGAAGCGAACATGAAAGGATAAAAACGAATAACCAGAAATTATGGACCAAAACATAAAAAACATTGAACAGACGGAAAAAATTGAAAATGTCCGTATCCTCCGAAATGGCGGCATGCTGTGTCCGGCGCGCACCCTTGCGCGCTTGGAGCAGGTTTGTCGCCGCCATACAAAATATTTGGAGGGCTGTAACTATGTGGGGAAGAGGGGGCTTAGCGAGATTCAAAAACTCAGTTGTAGGGTTTCTTGATGTAAAATGTTTTTATGTCAGACATATGAAAAAATTATGTGAAGGAAGGGAAATTTATGACTTTTTCTTTTTACAACCTCAGATGGCTGTCCAGGTGACTGTAAAGCCACCTGACTCAGAAAAAATTTTGCCACGCATTCACTTCACATAATTTCATAATTTTTTGCACATAGTCCTAGCTCCCTACTGCTTATTTACACACCAATTTTGGTGTCATTTCATTTTCTCTTCGCTGTAAACAAAGTCTTTTGTTAATTTCGTGGCAAATTTGAATTCGCGCGCTTGTCTGGCGAACCTGTTGAAACAGAAGATTTTTGGTTTTTGCAGGAATGGAATCGATAAGGCAAAAATGACAATTTGCGTCCTCTATAGAAGACGAAAAGTGACCTAAAGGGAGAAGGCGATTGTGTGTGGGAGGAGAGGGGGTGGGGGGGGGGGAGAAACGTTGGGGTTTTTGCAGAAACGATATCCCCTTTGCTTTTTATTCCAAAACGAAATCTAGCTTGCCTTGTAAGGTAGCCGTGCCGAGCTCTGCCCTTAAGCCACCTGTGCCGAGCCCATTGGATACTATGACTAGCAAATTGAAGCATCAATCCATTTTTGTGACTCAATAGCCATAAAAAAGTTTAAATTTTAGGCTTTCATGGGAGATCTTCAAGCAGAATGGTGATGTTGTCGTAACATGTTTATGCAATAGCTGGTGTATCTTGTCACGACTATATAAATAACTACACGGGTAAATACGATATCTCTTTCATTTTGCCCGCGATAACAATATTCCGCTGGCCAATGTACCCACCTTGCCGACGCCAATGAAGTTAGTCGCGCAGCGCTTCTTCTCCGAATTTTATGGCTGCCACCGTCCCGGCAGTCATCTACGCAATTGCACTAATTTTTGAAGTTGCTTCAATAGGTCGATGTAGGAAGTTTTTCCGTTGTTTTCTTTTTGCGTTTTCGGCTCATTTTTTGTCTTCCATACAATTTCTGTGATTTTGATAATGAGCCCTGATTCGCTTCGTATCTCGAACGGATCATACAAAGTGTCTGCTGAGCTGGTGACTACAGTATCATGGCCCCCGCTAGACTACTGTATTATGGCTCGCGCTACTTTAGTGTCGTTCTGTGAATACTGTAGCGGTGCAAAGGAGGCCGTGGCTAGATTCTTCATCCTCTTTTTGTGTTGCGGCTGCTAATTTTCAAGTAAAAAGATATCCAATGCAATTTTATTTTGAGCTTTCTGCGCCAAAGAAATGCGAGCCTCCATAAGTGTAAAAGATCATTACTACTTGTCTTTCAAAAAGTTTATGAATATCATTTCTAAGCGATAATTTCAAGCTGTAGCCGTTATCTGTTGAATCATCTTCCCAATTAGTCATCTATTATGCATGAGAATTCGCTATGTTGTAAAATGCATTTTTTTTCCTGTGGACCATTTTCGACTCGTTTCCGTGATTTCCTGCGTTGGTTGACTTCCGTTCAATACAAAACATGTTCCAGATCTAAAGGATGACATCCTTGTCAGCTCGACAACGTGCTGGCTTGATGAGAAATAAATCCGGTGATAGAACTCCCAGCAAAGGAGCCACAATGATCGAAGCTATAAAGGTACGTTCCAGAAATTACCTATATCATCTCTAACGTAAATCTAGCTTTCCGAAAAAATACACGCCCCTCATCGGCTATATATACGAAAAATACATGCTGGCATTTGTTCTAGCGTAAGCCTTCACCATGACAACCATAGGCTCAATGGCAATTCTTATGAGCTAATTGAGGGTTATGTTGTTGACAGTAGATGGTTATACGCGTGTAACAGTTTCAGTACAGATTGCAAAAAAATTGGTTGTGAGGGATTCTCTACTAGAATATAGATTTCAAAAGAAAACTACCCTGCAGCTATGTAAGAAAGAATAGCTTGAATATCTACTCACTTTAAAATAATCTTATATTATAACTAGCTGGCTTACCCGGCTCCGCCGTATCCGGACCAAACTTGGCACACATACACTTCGGGCCCCGGCGCGTGTCACAGTCCACTTTTCGTTATCGATCGATGTCGATCTTACCGATTTTTATCGATTTTTTCGCAGAGTTCACCTACAGGGCTAGGAGTTGGCACAGGGGGGAAGTGAGCATGGGGATTCCGAATACAATATTAGTTTTCAGAATTATCGGTTACTTTTATTGATTTTATCGATTTTTTGTAAATTTTGACATGCGAGGCTGGGATTTTGCACAGGGGGGTAATCGAGCATGCTGATTACGAACACAATATTAGTTTTCAGGATCGTCCATTACTTTTATCGATTTTATCAATTTTTTTGTAAAGTTTGACCTGCGGGGCTGGGAGTTTGCAAAGGGGGGTAATCGAGCATGCAGATTACGAATACAATATTAGTTTTTGGAATTATCCATTACTTCTATCGATTTTATCGATTTTGCAAAATTTGAGCTAGGGGGCTGGAATTTGGCACAGGGGTGTAATCGAGCATGCTGATCACCCCCTTGGGGATGATCAGCATGCTCGATTACCCCCCTGTGCCAACTCCCAGCCCCGTAGCTCAAACTTTGCAAAAAAATCGATAAAATCGATAAAATCGATATCGATCGATGACGAAAAGTAGCCTATGACACCCGCCGGGGCCCGTAGTGTATGTGTGCCAAGTTTGGTCCGGATCGGTTCAGAAATGGAATTTTCTATTCGGAACATACGTACATACATACATACATACATACAGACAGACATACAAACAGACATTCAGCTTTATATATAAGATATGACCATGTACCACTCTCGAAGCGAAACTCGAGGAGTTCTATCCAAAAGTAGATTTTGTAGAATCAATAATAAAATAAAAATTCACAGTCGGCTGGGAAATTATATGGAAGGAAACGTACTTGATGTGCTATGTGCAGAGTAAAAGTCAAAACATGAAAATGAGAATGTTTCTTCCATAAGTGTATGGACCGTGTTAGATTAGCGGATAATGTTTGCCCTATTTTCGGTGGAAAATTCAAGAAGCTTCCTACATAGAAAAAGGATAATCTACAATATGGAGTTAAGAATCCCTTAATTCTTCCCAATCGAATGATGCAGCTCTTTTTTTGATATTTCTGGCAATTAATAAACCGAATTTCTATCTTAGCGTAAGCTAAACGATGAAAGCGTTTTTATTAGAATACTTATGCCGCAAATGCACTTGCGGTCACTGAGTTCACGATAATCTTGGCAGAAATGGTCAGATTCGTGTTTTTCTATTTTTTTGGGTATGTGCACATACAGTGGAAAATCTTCATGAAAAAATAGTACAAATTTGGGTAATTTTAGTAGATTTTGAATTGATATTCAAAACTTTGCGATGTTTAAGATTTACGCCTGAATTAAGGACTAATTGCAGAAGTAGTGACCTCTCATCTTTGAGTAAACTCAAAATAAACTTAAAGAAAAGCTCTAGCTTTCTTGAAAATCAAGTTTCATCTGGACATTTTTGAGCTGCTGAGTGATCCTCCACTCAGTTTTCAAAATTCCGAGATTGAAGCTTGCCAGCTCGAAAAGCATGTTTTTTGGAAGCAGTGGAAAGCCGCTTCATTAAGAAAAAAATTTGTTCTGCCCCTCCCCTCCCCCCATCCCCTCCCTCAAACAAGCGTGGAATTTTCGTTTCTGTTGAATTTACAAGTTTCAAGTTCTCTTTTGCGTCAAGTTTCCTTTCCACGCTGTTGCTGGTGTAATACAATCACATTGTTACCTAGTTTTTTGAAACTTTGCCAACTCCACCATTACCTTCAATTTGGTTGAGTGCCCATGTTTGCAGCTCTCAACAAAAAGTAATATGATTGCCAATGGCAACATTTTCGTGACGGAATTTGCCGAAAACGCTTTTGGTTATTCTCTGTAGTCCAGATGTTCATACTTGAAAATTGGAACTGTCTGGTCCAAAAAAAGATCCTTTGAAATTTCCTGCATATTCTCTTGTTTAAGCTAAGTGGGAGATGCACTTCCGCTCTATCACCACCTTAATCGGCTCTTGTGATAGCTTATCTCAAATCCCGAAGTACATCTTGGGCTAACGTAATTGTAATTGAGTCACGAATGACTTGTATCACAATACTGTAATCTATCATCGAGTCATTCGAGTCATTCGTAGCTCAATATGCGTATTGCACACCATGCCCGCTACTTGACGTCTCTTGAAAGCTGCTCTTTCCAATAATTTCTCCTTATTCCCTTGTGTCTTTTGTTGTGTATAGTTAAGAAAAGGTTTTACCGAGTACTACGCATAAGAATGTCGTCGGTTGCCGTGCATAATGTGCAGACTCACATATCGATTGCCAAATGACTCGAAAATGGAAGAGTATAGACTTTGCTGCTATCATTCCGCAATTTCACAAACAAAAATTTATTGTTATTTTATTTTATTGACCAATAGTGAACTTTTCTGTTACTGCGTTTCACAATGTTTCCTCATACTGGTACAAAAAGTTTAACATGAACTTTGCTGATTTTTAGTTTTTTTATGCTCGAAGTTCTCCAATTTCGGAAATTTTCGACGCACTTGGATAGGAGCACAACATCTTAATTTTTATTGGCATATTACTGGTACACTTAGAATCACATACAATCAATGACGATTTTCTAGTTTTTATAAAAGAGGTAGTTGAAACGGTAAATGTCTACTAGATGAAAGTCGGATTAATTCTTAAGTATAATTCTTGCATTAATTCAAAAACTTCGTTTCTTTTCCACAATCAATAAATTTATTTACACTAATATTTGGCAGCGAAAGAGAAAATCTTTCTAGCAGCGCTTGAATAAAAATTCTATAATTTTATATGGTAACAATTTGAGTCAAAGAAGCACTTGAAAGGCTGCTTTTTGATTTTGGTTGCTAAAATTTTAAATTTATTGAAGTTCGTTATCGTTTTGTCTAGGGATTAATATTTTCTCTGACTCAAAAAAGTCCTTGGTGACTGGATGTGTGAATAATTACGATTTTTGAATTTTTTTAAAATGTGATTCTATTACATTGTTATTTCATGTAAAATGATTCTCTAAAATATTTTATATAACCAAATACTAAATTTGACTTACTTCATGAGAAACGTTCTATTTGAGTTGATAGTGTTTAAGATATATTAAACATACATTTTATAAACAACTAGATGGCTTACCCGGCTCCGCCCGGCCCTGTCATTATTATATTCGTGATCAGCATGCTCGATTACCCCCTGTGCCAACTCCCAGCTCCGTAGCTCAAATTTTGCAAAAAAATCGATGAAATCGATATCGATCGATGACGAAAAGTAGCCTATGACACCCGCCGGGGCCCGAAGTGTATGTGTGCCAAGTTTGGTCCGGATCGGTTCGGAAATGGAATTTTCTATACGGAACATACGTACAGACAGACAGACAGACAGACAGACAGACAGACAGACAAACAGACATTCAGCTTTATATATAAGATCTTTTTTATACTTATCTTAATTAATAATCATCAATTAAACCTCTCTTTCATCACATTTGGGTGTCCGTGTGATTTACCAATTTTTTCGTTACTGTAAGATCACAGGAGATACTTTGGAGAGAGTTTTGAGCCATGGGGGGCATGTTTTGCCTCAGAAAAGGAACCCATTTATATGAATTCTTTACAATAAGATCAGAATCGCTGACTTTGACTTTCTCAATTTTCCAGCGTTCTTATTCATTTTCGCTCATTCCTCACTATTTGAAATGTGCAACGATTGTTTACTTGGGATTCTCAACTATAGTTTTTGTCTTCACTGTCAGCAAGGTCCCATTTCTAGCTCCAGTTGATGTATAAACCCCTGAAACGATATGTTTTTGTCGTTGACAGATTGACTGCCATAAAAGAATCAAAGAGAAGAATTAGTTGCTAGGTGATTGAAGATAGAATGTGCATCGATAAAAAAAAAGACGAGCTTTGGATTAAAGGCTTTTGTGGAGAAGACGATTAGTTGTGTGTAAATCTCGGATTGGTTCATTCTCAGAAGTTTATCTTCGCGTTGGAAAACCATAATCCCATCCCTTTCTCATGACTAAACAGCTTTTTTTGAATATCTACACACTCACATTTTCTGGTTTCTGGAGAGTACAAGAGTAGTTTCAGTTTATCTTGTTTGTGCAATCTCAACTTTTCTTGAAAATATCATTTCCACTACAGAAGAAACTCAAAGACTTTGATTATATCACTCTACAAAAAAGACAATTTTGGGTTTTTCTTCTCTATGACTGTTTCCATTATCAAGAGTGGTCCAGGCACGCCAGACGTCCATAAAAGGCTCCATACTCTAATGACCAACGTTGCAGTAGCACTAGTCCTTCCCGTTCCCCCCCCCCCCCCTCCCCCCCCTCCCCCTTCCCCCCTACCCTCCCCCCGCTCACGAGAATGGCCTTGAAATATCGAATCTACTATATGAGCTACAACTTTCCCAACTTTCATTAAGCCAAAAATGGACTAGCATTAATGGATTGATTTGAGGGCTAGGGCAAATTGCCAAAATTCTAGATTTACGCTAAGAATGTAAAGTTCTAATTCGAACGTCTTGAAAAAATAGCCAAATTTTTCGAAAATATTGACTCCACTTTT